ACTGACAGTGTAGCTGTGTCTGGGTTCATTCTCTAGTATTGAAAGAAAAACTGCTAAAGGAAGATGCCATCGAAAGGACTGTTAGTCAAGAGAAGCACTGCCGCCAGGTGCGGTGGCGCACGCCTGTAATCCCAGCACTTGGGAGGCAGAGGCAGGAGGATCAGTGAGAGTTTGAGGCCAGCCTGGGCTGTGAGCTCAAGACCAGCCTACATTGCACAGTGAGACTGTTTCAAAATGACAAGAGAGAAACACTGCTGAAAGCGTCGGTCACTGAGCAGAAGCGTGTGCCAGTGTCTGGTCATGCACCTGGCTGTCCAGGTGCAGGGAGCAGAGCGGGGCCCCGGGGGGCGGTGCCACACGGAACCCCAGGGACAGCTGGAAGTGGGACCGCAGTGTTGGTGCTAGCACTATCTCCCTCATGGCACCGGCCCGATGCACAGTCAGCACGCTCCCGAACACACGGGCACTAAGTGCGTCCATTTTTATTAACATCTCCCACTGTAAAAGCAACACAGAAGACTAGGTGCGGCCACACAGCAGGCAGCTCACTGCACACACAGGGACAGGGACAGGGACACTGACACAGACAGGCAGGGTGGCTGGGTCACGGAACTGCCTGAGCACAGGGCGGCAGCAACCTTCGGGAGCGGGCCTTGACCCAGGGGTGTGCTAGGATCTGGCTCAGGGGCAGCCGCTCCTCAGGCTGGAACCGCAGAAGCCTGGCGATCAGGTCCCGGGCACCCTCGGGCATGGAGCGGGGAAACTGCACGTCCACCTGGGAGGCAGGAGAGGCCCAGTCACTTGAGGGCACTAGCTCAGCACCGGGCCAGCTGCCCTCGGCCAGCCCCGTCGGCGCCACACCTGGAGGATGCGCCTGTAGGTCTCGTTGTGTGAGGTGCTCTCGAAGGGCGGGCTGCCCACCAGCAGCTCATAGCACAGCACGCCCAGGCACCACAGGTCCACCTTCTCGTCGTAGGTGTTCCTGTGGATCATCTCAGGCGGCACGTAGTCCACAGTGCCGCACATGGTCTTCCTCCTGGGGGCAGAGCCGGTAGGGCAAGGCCACCCTGAGGGTATGGGGAAGCCCCATGACAGGCCTGCTTGGAGACAACTTTTAGTACAGACCAACTTCCACAGGAGGAATATACTGGGGCCCAATGACTTGCTTATTTTTTGGTGCCAGGAATCAAACTCAGGACCTTGTGCTTGCCAGGCAGGCGTTTCTTCTGCTAAGCTATCCAGTGAGATGTGCTGAAATCCGTCACACCACTACTGAGCTTGTCCACAGTGTCTGCGCACAAGTATTCTCAGAGCTCAGGCGGAGCGCAGTGGCCCGAGTTCCATCCCCAGCGTGCTATGCCAGACCTTTCCCCAGGATGCACTGAGACAGCGAGTGAGGCTGGGCGGGGTGGCGCACACCTGTCATCCCAGCGCTCGGGAGGCTGAGAACAGGAGAATCACTACGAGTCCTATCTACGTAGTAAAACCTTGTACAATCTGTCCTAAATTCATAAAAAAAAATTGATAAGTATTCTCAGGTATGGTGTGGTGGCCAGTGATAGCGCCTCTAGAGGCTGAGGCAGGCACACGAGGCTGAGGCCAGCCAGGGCCACACAGCAAGAGGCTGCCTCAGACACACAGAAAACAAACAAAATCTGAAACAGAAGGGCAGAGCACCAGGAGGAAACAAGTGCACGAACCAGCGCTTTCACACAGAGAATAAGGACCCAAAATATACAAGCACCTGCCTGGCAAGCACAAGGTCCTGAGTTTGATTCCCAGTACCAAAAAAAAAAAAAGCTAATTCATACAGAAAAATATGTTTTTGGCATTATAGAGTAATGGTTATTGATTTATTATGTGGAATCTTATTAGTAAAATATTATTAATAAAGATCAGAAAAAGTGTGGTTAACCCATATTCTTTAAATCTGGGCTTTAAATCTTTAAAAAAATTACACACACACACACACACACACACACACACACACACTTGACAGGGTAAGCATGTGCAGTTCAGGCTGGCCTTGGAACTCCCTGGCGATCCTCCTGCCTCAGTCTCCCGTCTCGAGATCACAGGGGTGCACCACCGTGATCAGCTTTTGAATCTGCAAATCTATTTTCAATGCATCCATCTGAAAAGGGGCGTGCTCGAATACTAGGGCAGTAACACCAAATGGATCCACAGCGGCAGGGGAAGGGGGCGCAGCTGGAGGCCGCAGGTCAGCCACCGGCCCTACCCACGGCTCTCCTAAGGAGCAAGGGAAACAGGATGCGGGTCTTCTGCGAAGGGGAAGGGGAGCGGGAGATGGGGCGGGCAAGCGAAAGGACCACAGTGCGCTAGCAAACCCGAACGAACGCCCAGGTGAACACAGCACGACGCGCCGCCCCACGCGCCAGCAGAAGCAAGGACAGCGAGAGCCCCGGGCTGTGTCTGGGTCCGACCAGGTGGCCCGGGCTCAACGGGCTGCTCGCACCCACGCCCCGACCCACCTGAGCGACTGGGTGTGCACAGACCAGCCGAAGTCTCCGATCTTCACCTCACCCCTGAACCCGAGCAGCAGGTTCTCGGGCTTGATGTCCCTGTGAATCACCTTCTGGGCGTGGCAGTAGGCCAGGGCGTCTGCCAGCTCCTCCATTATCTGCGCGAACAGAACCACTGCCTGAGGCAAAGCGCGACGCAGCACGGCTTGAGCGGGCCCGGGGCTGCTGCGGCCGTGTTCTTAGCTGCTGACTTGGACGCCTTCGTTCTCACGCAGCCAGGGACTCTGGCGGGGACTCCTCTCCCCCTCACGCATGGGCCCTGCCGCCCTAGCACACGGCCCAGTCCAACCCAGGAGCACCCCAAGCCGGGAAAGGATCCCCAGAGGGCCGAGCCCCCGGGAAGGAAGCGAGCAGGCAGCGGCACAGAGACCACTGGCCTTTCTCTCAGTCCACCTCTGCAGTAAACGACATTTGCGTTTCTGGGGTGGTGCTGCGCATGCCCATGACAGCGGCATATGCACTGTCACCTCATCTCTTCCCTCCTCTCCTCTCCATCTCTTGATCCCCTTCCACGGTGAGGACGACCTACTGCATCTTCCTATGTCCAAAAGCTTTTATTTTGCTGTTTATAGTTTGGGTTTCTCACATAAGAGGAACCCCGTAACATTTTAGCATGAACATTAGGTACTGCACCTAACATTACTGTGTTGAGGCGCATCCATTTCCTAGAGACTCAAGTTTATCCCTCTTTACGGCTGAGTAATACTCCGCGGTGTGTAATCTTTACTTTTTCTTCTATTGAGGGACATATCAGCTGGTTCCAAGATTGAGCCACTATAAAATTGCCGCTACACACATGGGTGTGTGTTTCTTACTGTAAGGTGATGACTTTTTAACGAAGACTCCTAGTAGGGGAACAGCTGTCTCAAACGGCATTCCTCAATTTCGCTTTCGAGTAATCTCCCTTCTGATTTCCACAGGGCTGCCCCACTCTCCCTGACAGCAAGCCCGCCCAGCCCCGGCCCCGGCGATGACCACCGCCCTGCGTCCCTCGGTCCCCTCTGTGACGACCTTTTTCTGAGCCAGCTCAACCCATGTGCTCAGTAAACTCATGCTACTCTCAAATATATGTATTTTGGTTTTTTGCTTTGTGCATAAAGTAGTTGAGTTAGTCTAGTGCTTACAATTATTTTTTAGGGTTTTTTTCCCTGTGTTTTAGGGAAGGGTTTACAGGGTGTTCAGGGTCTCACTACCAGATCAGACTTGTAGAGATCCACCTGTTTACAGCCTCCCAAGAGCTGGGATTACAGGTGTGCACCACCACAGCAGGCCCGGAGATTGAACCCACGATTGAACCCCCAGGCCCTGCACCTGCGTGCAGGTGCTTTAGTCCGCTGAGCTATTTGGCCGGCCCTTGTGCTTACAACTAAAGACTCTAATTTTATACTCATTCTGGAAATAAATCTGGGGATGAAACTGAAAACGAAGGTGGTACTATGTAATACTTATAGGAAAAAACCCTCAGACTTTTTCGGTCCTGCTCGCTCTGCAGTTCAGGCTGGCCCCCATTCGCAGCGATCCTCCCGCTCTGCCTCCCGCTCTGCCTCCCGCGTGTGGGATTGCAGGCGTGCGCTGTGGCGCGCGACCTGGGAGCAGCGACCCCCGCGGCGCACAGCTGGCCCGGGACCCTCACCGTGGCCGTGCGCTGCTCGTCCAAGGTGTGGCTTCTGAGCAGTTCCTTGTACAGCTCACCCCGCGGGGCGTATTCCAGGATCAGGTAAACGCGGCGCGCGTCGTGGAAGTAGTTGTAGAGGCGCAAGATATTGGGGTGCCTGCAGGAGGGGTGGGGAAGGGAGCAGACGTGTCAGGAACCCAGCGCACAATGCTGTCGCCAGTGAGCGGCGAAGTGTGCTGGGCCCCGAGGGAAAGCAGCCCCACCTGGGAGCAAGGAGGGCGGGGAGGGCACGGGCGGGACGGCGGAGCCAGCCGGCGGGGCGCTTACTGCAGGTGCGCCTGGATCTCCACCTCCCTGCGCAGCTGGTGCTCCATGCCTTCCTTCTCCACCTGGGACTTGAAGATGACCTTCAGGGCCACGATGAAATGGCTGTCCTTGAGCCGCGCCAGGTACACGCTCCCGAACCTCCCCTTGCCCAGCGGACGCCCGATGTCGAAGTCGTCGATGGTGAGGGGCCGCCTGCAGGAGCGCGGGAGGCCGGGTCAGGGTGCCCTGTGTCCTGGCCACGCATCCCGGCCCCAGCACTCACCTGGCAGCAGGCCCAGGCGGCGCGGGGGGCTCGGCCTGCAGGGGTAAGGGCGAGCCCGAAGCCATGAGCTCCCAGACCAGACGGACCACTGGACTTACTGCGCTGGGACAGACGCCAACCCGCCCACCGCAGGGTTCTTATACCAAACTGCTGCCGCTGGGGCGGGGCTAATGGCTAA